CCCGCGCGCTCATATGACCTATGCAGTTGCGAGCGCCGTAAAACACTTTACAAAAACAAAAACAAGAGATGACCTTCTGTATCGTACATGAACAACTTGAAAAACGGACACTATTGACAGTTACTGCTGTCAACAACTTAATGATGAACTCTTTCGTCAATGCGAGGACGTGGGTGGTTGGCCGGTGCTCTGGTGTGGTACGCTCCTTCTCTCTGATCTAATATCTGTTGTTTGTATTTCTTTCTCTTTCCCTGGTGCTTTACTCTCTAGTGAAACCTCTCTAGAGCGGTCAAAAATCCGTGGCGTAACTTATTGTCAAATATCTCCTCAGCTGTGGAACATAAACTCTCCAGCTTTTGCCCAATGACTTGAATCAATTTGTCTTAACAGAGCACGCTGAATATTTTTGTGCGCACCTGTTAGCTCTGTATTCGAGAAAATTCCTTTATAAATAGTAGTAAAAAATCCAAGTGAGTGCTGTCTACAGATTTTGAACGGTTTACTGCTTGGGCAATATCGCTTTTAATAGCAAGTCTGTTAATATGTTTTTTCTTATCACGACATTATGCTTATTTAAGGCATGTTTTGAGAACCTGTAGTGCAAAAAAATGTGTTCACTATAAATGTATTTCCTGTAAGAAGCTCTACCACTAAAAAGTGCAATTGGTGAGCTGTGACGTAGGCCATATGCGTGTATACAAAATGTGTGTAAGAAGCAGAAAGTGCTATGAACAATCCCATTTTGCGCGTGACGGAGATTTATAGTATTTTATATACATTTATGAAGACAAGTTTTTTAATCTAGCCTCAATTGTTGTGGGAAATGTGATTAAGTTAAGACAAATTGATACAAACTACTGTGCAAAGTATGGGTGACATTGATTCTTTCGTTAAAGAGATAATTTGAGGATAAGTTGCGCCAAGAATTTTGGAGGGAGAACATCAGATCCGCGCACTTTCGAGAGAGAAAAACTATCAGGGCCGTGCATTATCAGAGCTGCTCACTTTTTGACAATAATGATACAATTAGATTGTTGATTATCAAACAGTACTATCCAACAATTTAAGCACCCTCAGCGTTTTACTGGGCATGGGACCAGCATATTATATCATATATATCAGTTAGACTTTGTTTTGAATGAATAGATTTTTCAGGAATAAAAACATAACAGAACAGGAGAAATCTTTGAAGTGTTGGAGCAGCCTTTTATTGCTCATTCAGGATAAAAATTGAAGTTGTGAGACTTGTCCATACCCGTGCATTAATTGCTTGTAAAACATTCCCCCTTCTTTCTTGGTGGAGTGCCTTTCTGTTTGGTCTGTGTTATTAGTTCAGTTTAGAAATGGTCTGAAAATCGCTTAACATCTGCAGAAAGACGAATATATTTTGGATGAGGGCCGTAAAGAGCAATTTGGTCAAGGGGACTGTAACCGGTGGATGGAATCGGCAATCTAATTGTATTGATATCGTCAAAAAGTGCACGGCTTTCGATTGTTTCCCATATTTTACCACGCTATAATCTCTGACACTTATGGCTAATTTGTGTCATAAGCGTCGGAAAATCCCTACTGAAACAATTCTCCTCATCTTTCCTCTTTTTTCCCCCTTTGTATGTTACACTCTTGTAAAAACTTGGACCTCTGGCATGTATATATGAAAACCTTTTTATGTTGCAAACGCCGTAAAGATCTTACGTGTGTGTGTGTGAGTGTGTGTGTGTGTGTGTGTGT